GCCACCTCACCCACTCCCGTCTCACCCACTCCCTCCCACCTCCTCGCCTACTCTCTCCCTCATGCCCAGCATCTGGCCTTCTGGGCTTTGTTCCACCTGGCACCTGGTACCTGGTCAGGTCAGCCTGAGGATCCTTTCTCTCTGAACGCAGGAAGGACCTGTGTGCGGCCATGAACAGGCCCTGTGAGACCCTGGGCCTGTCCCACGTGGCGGGCATGTGCCAGCCGCACCGCAGCTGCAACATCAACGAGGACACGGGCCTGCCGCTGGCCTTCACGGTGGCCCACGAGCTCGGACACAGGTACCGCACCTGCTCCCGTTCCCGCACTAATGCTCCAGCTTCCCCTGCCAACCCGGGGGCACCAGGCAGCTGGGCCCACGGGCCACAGGATCCCAGGGAAGCGGGCCTGGCCGTGGCCGCACGTTGTCCCTGCGATGTCCCCACCCACATCGGGCTGCTTCCCTGTGAGACGTGGGGAGGCCCACGCGGGTGCCTGTGGGCCTGGCTCGGACCGAGTCCCGGTCGGTGTGGGGTTGAGACGACCGGAAAGTCACCAGTGTCTTTAGCTGTCCCTCCGTGGTGCGCTCAGTGCTTGCGTGTTGACTCTCGGTCCCCCACACCTGCATGTCTGATTGCTCTGTGACCCCAGGCAAGTGCCCTGCCCTCTCTGGACCTTGGTGTGCCCCTTGTTGCTTGAGGGGGTTGGACTCACTGATGCTCAGGGCTCCTCCAGCCGGCCCCTCTGCGCGAGGTGTGTGGGCCACAGAGAGGCCTGGTGGTCAGAGATGTCGGCGTCATCATTCACCTGCTCTGGGTTCCTTGAGTGACAGCCACGCGCGCAGGGCCTCGAAGCCGCCCGTGGTGGTCAAGAGCGCTCTGCCCCAAATCTGCTGTTCCCTGGCTGTGTTACCTTGGCTAGTTCCTGGGCCTCTCTGGGCAGTTCCGAGAACTGAGCAAGGTGGGGTTTCTAAAAGCGCTTAGCACAGCACCTGGCACGTAGTAAGTCTGAGCAAAGAGAATCATTCTTGTCTCCTTCCCCAGGATGGCGTCTCGAGAGTTTCTCTGTGACAGGGCAGCTCAAACTCCCTTAAATCTAGGGCACGGTGGGACCCGTGTCATTCCCTGCTGGGGACCAGTGCGGATGTGGGGACAGCCGTCCCCCCGTGCCCCTGGCTCGTTACTGTGGGTGCCCCTCGGGCTCAGTAGGCTGCCCCCCGCCCCCGCCCCCGCCCCCGCCCCCGCCCGTCCATACTCTGGGCCGGGGAGGCTGAGGCTCCGAGAGGGGTCGGCCTCCCGAGGCCCCACGGCGGTCTGGAGGCAGAGCCGCCCGGCGGCCCCGCAGCTCACCGGCCCCCGGGGCCTGTGCTCTCATGCAGTTTTGGGATTCAGCACGACGGAAGTGGCAATGACTGCGAGCCCGTGGGGAAACGGCCTTCCATCATGTCTCCACAGCTCCTGTACGACACCGCCCCCCTCACCTGGTCCCGCTGCAGCCGCGAGTACATCACCAGGTTCCTGGAGTGAGTCCGCCGGGCCCGTGGGGGGCCGCCCGGTGTCAGAGAGGCACGGGCCGGTCTGCCCGGGCTGGGCCAAGAGGTCCCCGAGGCCATCTCCGTGTCCTGCAACCCCACAGGAGGGAGAGGGGTCGTGGGGACCTAGGGATGGGGCTGGGGTCGAGCCCTGGGTTTGGGACGGGACGGAGACCCGACGGGGCACGGCCCCGGCCGCTTGGCCACAGGGTCCTGGGGAAAGTGCTGCCGGAGGCACCGAGGCTAAAGCCTGTCCCCTCTTTCTGATCCTCTCAACTGGTGACCGTGTTTTTGATTTGCTATTTCACGTTGTTCTCGGCTAAGGAAAATTTAAAGACGTAAGTTATTAGCACAGAATTTTTCACAGTGCCAGTTGTAAGTATAAGTAGGAGAATGGACCTCGGGTGCAAGGCCCCAAACGACACGACCCATACCCGTAGCTCCCTTGACCAGAACAGCAGAAGTGTGTAAGAAAGGAACTGGGTGGGTTTTATTCCACTTTTGTTTTTTAAATGTTTTTATTTATTTTTGAGACAGAGAGAGACAGAGCATGAGCAGGGGAGGGTCAGAGAGAGAGGGAGACCCAGAATCCGAAGCAGCTCCAGGCTCCAAGCCGTCAGCACAGCGTCCGACGTGGGGCTCAAACCCACGAACCACGAGATCACGACCTGAGCCGAAGTCGGACGCTCAACCGACTGAGCCCCCCGGGTGCCCCATTTTTTATTCCACTTCTTAACACGTGGGTGCTCTGGCACCGCTCCCCGCCCTCGGCTTACGCTGGCCAGTAAGCGGGGTCTGAAGGGAAAAGGGTCTGGGGGTCGGCCCGTGGCCCCCTCTGCATCCTCCCTCCTGGCGTGTGGGTGGCTGGGACAGGGAGGTAACGCCGATAACACGGGACGACAGGGTTTCTGGGTCGTTCGTGGTTCTTAACACGTCACTGCCTTCTGTTCACGTTTGAAGCACGTGCTGATTCCAGCAGGCAGTGTGGCCTCTGTTCCCGATCCTATCTAGACCGGGTGCCTTCTGGGCCGGCCCTAAAATTGTCCCACGGGGTCCTCCTGCCGCTGACTTTAGAGGGGGTGCTTCTTTGTTCTGGCGGAGTAGGTTCTGAGAAAAGGTGCGTGGAGGTAAGGGGTTTGAAGTGTCTTTATTCTACCCTCACACCTGATCGATCGTTTGATTTGGTATCAGCTTTGGGCTGTCAGTTGCTCTTCGTCAGTGTTGAGAGGCTTTGTTCCCGGGCGCCTGGGCGGCTCAGTGGGTTGAACGTCCGACTCTTGATTTCAGCTCAGCTTGTGATCTCACTGTTTGTGAGTTCGAGCCCCACTTTGGGCTCTGTGCTGACAGCAGGTAGCCTGCTTGGGATTCCCTCTCTCCCTCTCTTCTTCTCTCTGTGTTCCTCCCTTTATTGTTCTTCCATGAGCGTGGGGTGTCTTTCCGTTTCTGTGTGTTCTCCCCAGTTCTTTTCATCAGCGTTTTATCGTTTCGCTGTGCAGAAGTTTTTTACCTTGACGAGGTCCCAGTACTCTATTTTGGCTTTTGTTTCCATTGCCTCGGGACATACCTAGAAAAGAGTTGCCACAGCTGATGTCAGATCACTACCTGTGTTCTTTCTTCTCTGGGATTTTTATGGTTTCAGGTCTCGTGTGTAGGTCTTTAATCCATTTTAAACTTATTTTTGTGTATGGTGTAAGAAAGTGGCCCAATTTCTTTTTTTTAATTTAAGAAATTTTTTTAAGTTTATTGTTAAGAGAGAGAGCAGGCAGGGAGGGGCAAAGAGAGAGGGAGACAGAATCCCAAGCAGGCTCTGCACTGTCAGTGTAGATAGAGCCCAGCTCGGGGCTCGAACTCACAAACCGTGCGATCATGACCTGAGCCGAGATCAAGAGTTGGTCGCTTAACCGACTGGGCCACCCAGGTGCCCTGAAAGTGGTCCACGTTCATCGTTCTGCATGTTGCTGTCCAGTTTTCCCAACACTGTTTGTTGAAGAGACTGTCTTTTTCATATTGTGTATTCTTGCCTCCTTTGTCCAAGGTGAGTTGTCCATATGACCGTGGGTTTGTTCCTGGGCTTTCTGCCCTGCTTCGTTGATCTGTTTTTGTGCCAGTACCACAACGTTTTGATCATTACAGCTTTGTAGCGTATCTTGAAGTCTGACATTGTGATGCGTCCAGTTTTGTTCTTTGTTTTCGAGGTTGTTTTGGCTATTTGGGGTCTTTTGTGGTTCCGTCCACATTTTAGGATGGTTTGTTTTTGCTCTGTGAGAACTGCTGGTGGTGTTTTGACAGGGATTGCATTAAATGTGTAGACTGCTTTGAGGAGTAGAGACATTTTAACAATATGTGTTCTTCTAATTCGTGAGCGTGGAAACCTTTCCATGTCTGTGCGTTCTCTTCAGTTTTTTCATCCGTGTTTTATAGTTTCCAGAGTGCAGGTCGTTACCTCGATGAAGTTGATTCCTCGGTACTTTGTTTTTGGTGCAATTGTAAATGGGGTTGTTTTCTTAATTTCTCTTTTTCTACCTCATTATTAGTACACAGAAATGCAACAGATTTCTGTATATTGATTTTGTGCCCTGAGATTTACTGAATTCACATATCAGTTCCAGTAGATTTTTGGTGGACTCTTTCCGGTCTTCTACGTACAGTATTATGTCATCTGCAGATACGGAAAGTTTTACGTCTTCCTGGCCAACCTGGATTCTTTCCATTTCTTTTTCTTATCTGATTGCTATGGCTGGGACTTCCAGTACTGTGTACTGTGTTGGATGAAACTGGTGAGAGTGGACATCCTTGTCTCGTTCCTGATCTGAGAGGAAAAGCTCTTGGCGCTTTATCATTGAGGACGATGCTAGCTGTGGATTTTTCATATACGGCCTTTATTAAGTTAAGGAACGTTCCCTCTACACCTACTTTGTTGAGAGTTCTTATCATGAATGGATGTTGTACTTTGTCCAATGCTTTTTCTACGCCTGTTGGAAGGTTCGTGGGGTTTTTAACCTTTCTTGTATTCATGTGATGTATCATGTTGATTGATTTGTGAATCGTGCCACCCAGAAATAAATCCCACTTGATTGTAGCGAATGATGTTATAAACGTATTGCTGGATTCCGTTTGCAAGTATTTTACTGAGAATTTCTGCGTCCGTGCTCATCAGTTCTGTTTTCTTGTGGTGTCTTTGGTTTTGGTATCAAGGTAATGCTCGTTTCGTAGAATGAATTTGGAAGTTTTCCTTCCTTTTTAATTTTTTGGAACAATTTGAGAAGAAAAGACATTAACTCTTTAAATGTTGGTAGAATTCGCCTGTGAAGCCATCTGGTCCTGGACCAGATGTTGGGAGTTTTTGATGACTGATTCAGTCTCATTGCCGGTGACTGGTCTGGTCAAGTTTTCTATTTATTGCTGATTTCTTTTTGGGAGGTTATATGTTTCTAGGAATTCATCCATTTTTTCTGTGTTGTTCAATGTGGGCATTTGGTTTTTTGTAATTATAACCCTTTGTACTTTGGTGGAGTCCGCTGTATTTCTCCTTTCATTTCTGGTTTTGTTCATTTGAGTCTTTTCTTTCCTCTCCT